ATAAATGATTAAATCAGCCTTAACTCATCAGTTTAAGCTGGAGTTATCATAAGAACAAGAGGTCTTGTTTTCGAACCCCTCTATTGTCATTTCCTCCCCATTTCATATTGATTTCCACTAGTTGGGCATTGTGCTAACTTCCAAGCCCACGAGGGAAGGAAAGTGTTAAGATATCCAATAAATGATTAAATCTATCCAAACCCATCAGCTTAAACTTCTGGTTTCATTGGTGATTTATCATGTTTAATGGGTACCATAAACAATATTATAGAAATTGTTAAAGGAATAATCTGAAATGAAATACAAACTGTGGGCGAAGGGAATCCATAAGATTTGCAGAATTCAAATATTCCATGTTCAGCACTTGAGTTCTGCATTAATACAGAATCATTAACATCCTGTTACACCAGTGTAATAGAACATCACATTGCTCAGTATTATTTCCCATACTTAAATTCCAAATAGTATCATCATCAAGTTTATACTTCATCAGTCAGCTGAGGGATATGGTGTATTGACTGAAATAACAAGAAGATCATGCAAAATATGGCCTAACAGGCCATTTATTATTCCAAAGAAAAGTAAATGGATAAGAAAATAAGAAGAATATCGTGCAAAATATGGCCTAACAGGCCATTTATTATTCCAAAGAAAAATAAATGGATAAGAAACACTAAAACCTACCAAACCATAGTTCCCGAATCCATAAGACTCAACCTTTGGAAGATGTGAGCACATAATTTTATTGGTAGTCTTTAAACCATATCGATCTAACAACTTTTGTATAAGCAAACCTTTGACTACAGAAAACAGCTTGTTGAAATTTCAACGTACAACCCCTATGACCAATTCAAAACCAGGTATGTTTAAATTGTAAATCTAAATCCCATATGCATATATTCTAATGCCACACGTACACTTTAGATATGTGAATGACATTAAATCTAAAAGATGTCACTGGATACCCCTAAAACATTTATATCAAAATTGACATTTGAGACATAACAATCAAACCAAGTTCAGAATTTTGAAGCTTTTAAATGCAACTCTATATCTCTCGAAACTATTATTCAAATCTCAACTTAATAGGGCTCAAAATCTTTCTAAATATTTCCTACTAAAAATGCAAAAAGTAAGAAAGAGATAAATAGTATCTTGATATCTTCTTTTCGAGGTGAGCATGTATAAATAAAATAATATAAAATTTTCTCTCTGATTCCTAAAATTATAGTACACCCAGATAATCTTAAGGTCAGAAAAGTTAGCTCGGACATTTCCTTATTTAACACAGGCCACTCACTCTCTCATCAAATTGGAATCACGACTATAAAACTCACTTGGATCCAAGTTTCCTTACAAAGAAAATTATGCAGTGACAAAATTTGGAAAAATGCTACATTGACTAGTATTATGGATTACCTTTTCTCCTAATAAATCTTATGTTGCACCAACTTTCTTAGCAATTATAGCCACATTCCTTGGAGATAAATCCGGATCAAAAATAGGTAACAATATGGCTTCAAGAGATCCACCTTGCTCCTGGAGAAATAGTAATCTGTCAAGGATAATACATGTTTCCAAAACTGGTCCCAGAGCAGCTCGAAGAGACCAGTAAGGCCCAATAAGTTCCTGCATGCGATTTACTTGTTAACTGGGGAAATATTTTCAGCCATCAGCATAAGTTTGACTTCTAAATTTTCACATAAAAATACAAATCTTTTCCATGAGTAGTCAGAGGTTCAGGGTGTGGCAAGGGGCAGGGGAGGTTCTGGTGCTGATATTTCTAGGCCTTAAATGAAGGGTTTTCTTTTTCAGGTCCGGGATCCCTATCTAGCATTTTTTCTCAAAATAATTAAACGTGAATTCCATAATAAAATGGCATAACTGCATTACTAACTGTATCATTAGTCAACAGCTTGGTCATTTTATTTCAGTTGCAGACTTCAAGGTACGTATGAGTGTACACTTGTATACAATAAATGGTTCACCGTTATGTGTAATAATGACTTTTCAAAAGTTTATATAAAGAAATCTTGTTTTATAATATACACAGATTCTTATTCCACCTAAGTGCTTTCCTGCCTTTCTAGGAGTAAGTATCATGAATATATCTACTGCTAAATGGAAGGGCTCGTCAAGAACTTCTAACTTAACAATATATGAATTTACGGTTACATCCTATAACTATACATGTACATAACATACCAAGTCTCTTCTTTTAAACACTTCACAACACTCTATATATAGAATCAATGTTCTATCTTATTTTATGAATTGGACATAAACAAAAGCCTTGTATGATACGAGGATGCATAATAATAATGTGAACACATAATCACCATCATCTAAGCACCCACCTTGACATCGTCTAACCTAATGCAGCATCCTCCAACTAAGTTTTAGTTTCATTCATGTGCTTAAATCAGATTAATGGAATCCCCCATAACAGTAACATCATAAAATGGTGCCTTCAATACTAATTGAATGGTTTAGCACTTAAATTCTAATAATTCAATGGATGCAGAGATAATTGTACTATTATTTGAACTTCTAGCATTCAGTTGATCAAGTTAGATATCACGCCAAATAGTTAATTAAAAGCATTTAAAATTCTGAAGCAAATCAAATAATAAGTTAATGTTAACGTCTTAGAAGCAAGGGAATCAAATCAACAGCAATTATTAATTTGGAGCAACTAAAAAGTTTTAGACTAAAGCTTGTATATTATTGTAACTTGTAATTCGTATATGATTTAGTCATATATAACAGGTATAAGAACTAAGTAAACATACCGCAAAAGGCTCAGTGTCCATCCATATTCCAAAATAATCCATAACCCGCAAAGTTTGAAGTCCGAGACGATTTAATCCAGATTGACAGAACTTTTCGAAAAGAGGATATTTGTCCACATATTTGGATGGTTCACATTGCATACTCCCATTGTCAGAAATGGTAAGAGACAACGCATTTCTGTTGGCTGACAGCTCCCCAATAAGATCTGCAGTATATTTTTAGTGTAGCTAAGTATACGTAAACTGTTATTTGAAAATTTTAATGGTCAACAAAACAATTCAAATTGCATTAGTCGTATTCTATCTACTATAGAAACAAATGGATTCTTTGAAGCTAGGTTGCACCACCCACTAACCCCTCTAAGATCTTCCATTTCAACACAGGATACTAGGGTGAGATAGAACGCCATTAATTAATAGAAAGCTAGGATATTCTAGGATTTACCATCTCATACCTTGTTGTGACGCCTCAAGCTTATCTTCATGACACTGCAAGGATACTGAAGCCTCTATTTTCTTTCGACGACGCAAAGCCTTTCCTTGACGCCCGATAGATGGGCAAGTTGCTACAACTTCTGGATAATATCTATAGAGAACCTTCACAGAAGAAAAATAGAAATAAAGGAACACTTAAAAAGAAAAAAGGCATAAAGTTTATGCAGATAGATCGACAAATTACGTTCTATTTCAAGAATCTTTTGTGTAAATTATGGTTGGCCAACTTTAAAACCCTCTCTTTTGTAACTTCAGTTGGATCGTTTATGTTATAGATTTATAGGGCAGAAAAGAACTTAGGTGATCTATACTTCTATTGCCTCTTTACAAGCTGTTGACAGGCTAAGTTATTTAAGTACTATGGATTGTTGATGAAAAGAAAAATTCTAGAATCTCATAGGATTAATCTTCTGATGGGACAGAGAGATCTTTAAGGGATGATAAGGAAAAAGAAATAATGGAAAACCAAAATGAGAAATCATGTCCGAAGCTAATTTCAAATATCATTTTTCTTTTTTGCCAGTTGATCTGCAACAAGAACTTGTGCATGACACTTTAAGAGATCAAGGAGCAAGACTAAACTACCCATGCCTTTTCGTAATAGTCTACATTTCAAAATTTTGAATGCTACGTTCTAACCAGAACACAAGCTCGCCGCAGCTTCTACGACAAGACCAACAGCTTTTCTAATGAGATAACTAGCCTTGAAGGCCTCCAATAAATAGTTATTTACTTGCTATGAATTTAGTGGGAGAGAAGCAACAATGTTAGGAGGCGAGATCAAAATTCAAACCAATTCAAAATAAATTTTCCAAAATATGCTTGAAACTAAATGCAAATTATAATTGAACTAAGTTACATGACAACGCCCTATGAGATTATAAAAAATTGATCACAACTTTTACCATTTGGAAAGCAGCACGGAAAGCATGCAACTCAAAATTATGGAGACCACCCTCGTTTTCCAAATTCCTCCATCTCTCTGCACTCTAAAGAGAAAAACAAGTTATAAACTTTACTTGTCCATTGAAAATTATAGATCTATTAATGTTCTAAATGCTATTATCTTTTGACCTGTGGTTAGATTTTATTTGCAAAGGCACTTGTCGTAATAATATAGAAGCTTAACATATTGAAGTAAACCCTAGCTCTCCTTCATTGTAAACAACTCTAGGAATGCAACAAGTGTCCTTTAATCTCCTGGAAACAACATGCTTCAATCATACGACAATTATGATCACCTTGCATATCTCAGTTTATTTCAGAGAATACTTAAAGCATAAAACTATTTTTATTTCTCTTAACCTTTCCAGGTAAGTGTCCACTATAACCCCATGTAATCGTTATTTTTATGATCCAGGTGATCCAAGGAAAACTCAAACAGTAACCTAATTTGCCTTCAGAAGATAAAGAAACAAAATGAAAATTGTTATTATTATGATGGTGGAGAAGGTCAGAAGCTGACCTGACATGCGAGATCTCTGCCACTTTTTCCAAGAGACAAGCCAGAATATTTGACTCTGGAGCTCATTGGAAATCCATTTTGGACATCTTTGTTGTCTGATCCATCCTCCGAGAGAAGGTTGTAACAGCAACCAATACTAACAACTGCTTTTACTTCCTTGCACTCTACAAAAGTCCTGGATTAAATGGTGAAATATAGTGCATTTGTTAAATCCTGTACTGAAAGGAGAGAGATAATAACACATATGATAGAAACTAGTTTGCCCATCACCTTTGCAATACTGTAGGGAAAATCAAATAACTTAAGAACTCGTATACTAGTTTATATGGATTATATCTGCAACTTAGAAGGGCTATGAAAAGTAGTTTCTTCGATGATGTTTGACATTCAATAGGTGGAGCAACCAAATTCACAACACCTGAATTTTTCTAGGATCTTCTTTTTGTATATTATTGGAAGTCAAAGTTCCTAACCAATTAGCTTCTCAGAGCCATAGCATAGACTTTTTTAATCATCCAAATTTATGAAAGAAGATTCATGATTTACCTTAGGCCACTCTTAAATTTAAAAAATAAAAAACTAGAAAGAAGAAGAAGAAGAGAAACTATCAAAACCTAAAATTAAAATTAAAATTTATATTCCTCAAAAAATCACCAAAATGCTAATGTTCAGATCTCATCTTGTTCATGTGTTTTTGATTTCTATGTTCTTTGGAGCTTGTATCCTTGAACTTTTTTCTTTTTTCTTCCTTTTCATATTATCAATGAAAAGTTTGTTTCTTGTTTAAAAAAAAAAACATATATTAGACACATCTTTCATAAAAAGAGCAATTCAGTATGGTGTTATTCTAACCTAAGCATTATCACTGAAAGATCACCACAAGCATGAAGACCAGCAAGAACCAATGAAGGTTCTTTGTCTGAACTGCACAAACACTTTGACTTTTGCCGATTGGTTTTCTCTTGATCATCGCTAGGCACACTCTCCTCAACATGATTGTCTTGCAACAACATGTTGGCAAGGGATTTTAATGCATCAACTGACAACACATGGAATGTCATTGCCTTTGGTAGTCTCAAACTGCTGGCTTCTAATCTGGCAGAAGTTCAAGAAAAATTAGAAAAGGGGTAATAATACTTGAAGATACTAAGTTTAAGGAAAAATTAGAAACCAAAATATTATCTTTGTCTAGTAAGAAACTAAGATCATTAAATTAGGGAAAGGAAAAACAAGGTTTGCACGTAGTCCTCTAAGATACACCAGAGTATCCAGAAGCCTTATTGTTCTACTTGCCTCTGAGCTACAATGACCGAAAGGTCTGAAACCACATTATAAGGGCAATGACTGATTTCTTAGAAATGGTTGCATGCGAGAATGATTTCTTAATACAAGATCTTTGAGTTTCATCAGAATTGCAAAATGATTTCTCTGTTGTTTCTGGGGATTAGAAATTTTAATAAAGTTGGTCTCTAAGATTTGAAGACGCCTAGTAGAGAAGCGTTTTTCTATTACTTATGTCAGCCTTCAGAAGGTGAGCATCATTGAAAAATGTTACTTGGCCTCAGAAATTGCAATGTGGATAGATGCTCTCACTGATCTCGTTATCAATCCCTTGAAACTAGAAGTTCTTAAGACAACCAACACTCCAATAGATGGACCGAGTTCAAAAGATCACATATAAGAGATAAAGCTTCGAGGAGATCTTAATAAAAATGAAATTAAAACAAATTAATTCTATATTCTTGCATCACTATAAAATGTTTCCTGGCTAAAAATGTTTTCTAGACCCTTACCCAGACTTACGAATCTGAGCTAAGTAATACTTCTTAATCCGTCCTGCACGTGCACTTGTCACATTTCCATGATGGGAACAAGCATCAATTGCAAGAACTGAATGCTTGTAATGGAAGGAGAGCACTTGTGCTAGATAACCCTTGCAAGAAAAGATCATAAGTATCAAATCAACTACATATTTTCCTGATGCAATAGATTTTATACGAAGCATACAGTTGCATAGAATTTCTTTTTTGTAGGAAGAAGTTATATGGAAAATAAACTATTTTAGAAAGAGACTGAAACATTAATGCAAGAGAGAGAGAGAGAGAGAGAAAAAGGATCAAGTAGATTACAGAGGAAGAAATCGTTCAAAAAATATGAGTGCCTTTATGCATATCAAATGTAGAAAAGAAAGATTCATCAGAAAATGATTAAATTAAAAGAACAGAGCGAACATTTTTGCTATGATGCAAAAGTATTTAGAGGAATATCCTCGACAAAGTTAACTCTCAGATATTGATCATAAAGGAAGCAAGTGAAGTTCAATTCCTCGAGTACCACAACATAAAATTAATTAAGTTAATTTCATAAAGAAATTTATATATTTAAATGAGGAAGTCTTGTTTCCCCCACATATTAGAAGAAAGGGAAAGGAAAGAGGGGGGAAAAAGGCTTAAATGTCTTTTTCTTTTTTCTTATTTATTTATTTATTTATTTATTTTACAGAAAAAGGCCTAAATGTTGCTCTAATAATAGTAAATACTACATTAGAAATCTCGATTCTTTTATAAAAATCAAAATCATAGATCTTGATTAACCCAACCACCAAAAAAGCCCTAAAATGATTTATATCTAGGAAATAGAAACATATATGTCACGGAGCAATCATGGACCCCACGTGCAAAAAGAAATAATACTAAGAAAGAAATATATAAGTATTACAATAGTTTTCCTCCAATTTCTAAATTGATATCTATCAACTCATTTATTTCAATGTTTGCTTATGTTTCACTAATTACTAATTTTTCCAATGCTTTAGTGACACCAACATATAAAATGTACGTCCCCACCCCTTATCAACACAATTTACGTTCATAAACGCTCATTTTTGGAGTACATCTCAACAAGAGACCTCCACTTTACAAAAGTCAATATATCAAACATATTGTATGCACGAAGATGTTTAGACCTAATAAAGAAATGATAAGACCATAACAAAGCTCAGATGAAGTATCAAACTCACTCATCTTGCATATCATAAATGAAAGTAAGAGTTACCTGACCAGCACCAACATCAACAATAGTATGAGTTTTCAGGTCACTTGCAATCGAACTAATAACGGCCGAAAGGACTTCAACCTGTTGATGCATTAAAAAAATTTCCTAATGAATCACACAGAAAATGTTTTGTTTATAATTTCTCACAACACGGTTAGTAGATTGCATCACCATGTTTGACAAGCCATACAACCCACAGATTAAATCATGCAAAATGCACCAAGTATAAACCATATTAAATTTAAATTATCATAGCTTTGTATAGTAAAGATGCAACTGACTAGTGGTTTCCATAACGTCCTAATTGCATCTAATCATTAAAAAGAAATCAATTGAAGCTCTTCAACCCCCAACCCACCCTATTTAACTATCTTCCTTCCAAGCATGACTATAGACCATGCACCACTGAAAGGGAAATCCTTCATTGGATTTGTACTTCCTTCCACGTGGGAGAAAAAATCATAAGAATCTTCAATGAAACGAATGATGTAGGACTATTTTGTAACCAATTTTCAGAATTAATAAAATAACCTACTCACTTTGTTTTTGTATATATATATTTTTTATTATTATTATTATTTTTTTTTTTTGAAATGATAAGAACTAACCTATTGATTTTGCCTTAGCTCTCCACCAAATTGACAATGAATAATATAGAACTTGACTCCTACATATGAAAGCAAGATCACAAAAGTTAAATCCTCAATTTCAAAATCAAAGTCGAGCATTGAAAAGAAAGTGAGCTTCATAATAAAAGGAGGATATTTGAACTTGACCTACAAATAAGATTACTTTGTCACAGATAAAGATTTTAACTTAATTAGTCTGATAGTTACTTTGCTATCTGATATAAAATTTAAAGTATTTGCTAATACCCCCACTCAAGGATACTTTAAAGTATTCCATTTGGAAATATATCTCTCAATAACTTGCCTCATGTTTTTTCTTCTGATTCATGCCTTGAGCAAGAACTGTGTTAAGCGAAGCCATGCACCAACCAGGCAGAACCTGCAATAGTAGACACAAATGTAGTCCCAAGAAGATGGATAAACAACCTAGAATGTCATTTTATTTGATTGACACATGTAAGTTAGATAATTATAGTAACATTCTTTAACTCTCTTAGTTACTGCTAGTTACAAAAAGGCCTCACAGCCGCTTAACAATGCCCCTATCATGGGACCCCTCTTTAACTCTCTTCCAACAATACGTACTTATAACACCTCCCTGGAGTTTTTGTAATTACTAATAAGGTGTAATTTTTTTTTTTGGATTGTAGCCCCTTAGGGTGTTCTCTAGTCATGCTGTTTTTTTATATGCCCTTTATATCTTTTCATTTCTCTCAATGAAAGTTTGGTTTATTAAAAAAAATAAAAACGTACTAATAACTGGGCTAATATCATTAGAAGGGGTAGTTAACTGTCAATACCTCTCCCATCTTTTTCTTCAGTAAGAAACAATTCTAATCACAACAAAAGATCACAAACGAGACCAGATACCTAAGCCAAGGGGTGAATAAGAAGAGGTAGCTTCCCAATTTGTCCAAAAAATTTGCATGAGGAGGATTAGCCTTATGTTTCTCATACTTGCTATAGGCAGAAAGTTTTTCTAATCAAGTAAACGCAGTCAACTAAGCATAAATGACATCTATATATGTTATAACATAAAAGCTCTACCTTCTGTAAATCTGCTTGTTCACGTTGGAAGGCAAGAGATCTTGAAGTAAGGATAAATTTCTTTAATGAATCTGGCCAGTATTCCTGAATGATGGGGTCATATCATCAAATCACAAAATCATTTTTCACTACATTAGAGCAAGTCACTCGTAACAAGAACCACAAAAAAGATCTGCTCTATCACATATTTCACTAATTCCTCAAATGGACTAAACTATCAGCAATATTTCCAAGTTATATTTGAGATTAAAATATCTAATACTTATTTCCAAATTCCAAGAAATAAAATTGCAGTTCTATAAAAAACCAAGCACGGGTATCACCCAAAAAACCATTTATAGGAATAGGGATCCCCAAACAAGATTCGACTTTCAAGAATTCTCCGCAACAAAGAAAAAATTGATGGCAACCTCGAGTAGATGGTGGACTAATTACACCTTCAGTCAACCATAAATGATAAAACATTTCAAGAGATCTGACACATCTAGGGATGTCTTTCTTGGATTATATGACTATTGATCACTTCCTAAATCTTCTGAGAAAACCAGAAAGGAAAAATAAAGAGCGTCGTGAAAGCAAATGGTATGAAATTACACTACACAAAAAACATCCGAAGTCCAAACATTTTTCTACCTTTTGGGAAGTAATGTTAGATTGAATTTTATATTCGAAGACAACTCAAACAGATATTTGAGAGAGATTTGCAACAAAATGCAGAATCATGGCCAAAACTCGAATATTTCCTATTCCATATAAAACATTCCCATACCCAATGCTGATAACTGCCAACTACTCAATATTAGCACCCTTATTTTTTCCTCCAGTTAATCAATTATATAATTACTGATAACCAAATTTATATGTTCAGATGGCAAAAACAAGTGGTTAGACAGAATTTTATGGCATCTGTTCCAAAATAATAATAATAATAATAATAATAAATCCCAACCCATCACACATCAATCTTCCCAGGAACTGAAACTTAATTTATACAGAGCAATCCAACTGTAATTCATACAACAGAATTAGCCGTCCAACCACATACTAACTCTGAGAATAACTAATTTTAAATTTTCTTGAAAAAAGATACAGGGCCAATGCTAGTCGAAATACAAATCTATATTGTACATCAATTCCTTGTTAATGCTATACAATGAATTTCATATTGAAAACAAATTACATCTAATGATCAATTTCAGTTCCACGAATATTTCTAGAATACTCTACAAAATCCATATATCGATAGATGCTATACTTCGATCTGGATAATCAGACAATTATGTCAGACATTTATGTAGAGGATTACGTATAAAAATATACCAAAATGACTAGTAACGGATCAATCAGAAGACGTACTTAACAGTTCAGCCAAATACTTACTGCGTAATTTTGTTGTGGATAAATAGCTTATAAGTGAGCGCAGCAATTCTAGCTTCTAAACTAAGTTATAAATGTCCAAACACGAGCTAATGGAAATGAAATCCAAGTCCAACAGTGATCTTCATGTTAAGTGAAAATTAAATTACAGAAACAGAAGCACCTGGACAACTCCAGAAGGAATTAGGAGCAGGTTCCTAACAGGTTCCTTGCGCAAGCACTCCATCCATTCCTTATCAACATCTTCCCATAGTCTATCCTGGAGGATATAATGGAAGCATTAGCATAACAGAAATCAGAAAGGAACATCCGTGAGTAAAAAATAATCAAGATCAAATTACAAGGCACACTCCTATCAGTTTCCAGAATTTGTGCAAATTTGAAGAAACAAATTAACAAACCTTGAAGAAATTGACGACGGGAGCATTGATCAAGAACGAGTAGGGTCTGATAAAGTCGGCGATGGCCTTTATCCATTGAAGAGTATTGGCTGCAGTGTCGCACTTGAAGTTGCAATTGCTGCCACCATTGCCGCGAAAATCAGTCGCCATTTTTTGTCGCCAAATCAACGGAACCACCGATGGCGCTGCAGCTAAATACATACATGTAAATATTTAACAGAAATATATACACACATTTACGAGTTGAGCCTCAATATCCTCGAGCCAAAATATTAGATAAGTGAATTTTATGCAAGTGTTTTTTTCTTTTTTTTTTTTGTCTCGTAAATGGTTTTAAAAATAAAGTAATTACAAATTTAGCACATTTGTTTAACTTTTTTTTTAATGGGTTTTTTACACCTACTATAGAAAATAGGATAAGTTATTTTTAAAAAGATTTCTTAAGAACAAAAATTAAAAGAAAAATCCGTGGACATTGTAATTTATATTTCGAAAATATCCCTATATTTGTTTAAGTTTCAAATACTATCCTTCGCCTTTGTTATAAAAATACTGATTACTTACCCTTTGGAAAATTAGAAGCCCAAAATTGAATAGCACACAACAACTCATCTTCTCCCAAATTTTCAACTTCAAACCCTTTCATCTTCTTCCCTCCTCTTTACCATCTTCCACGAGCTTAAAAAAATCAGATTTCAAATTGGTCAGTGCTCGATGAACATTTGAACTTACCATCAATTCACTTTGAGACGGTTCCACAAGGTAGGCAGTATTAGCATATTTTATCTTATTTGGTACGATCACCTCCAATAACACTATCAGTCGTCAAAATCTCCAGCAACATCAATAGATCCGACTACACTGTAATAACAACCAGAAATCGGTGCAATCGCTCGTCTTCTATTTCCACTCAATATTTACCATCCGATTTAATTAAAAGATAATCACAAATAATCGTAGTGGATGACAACGACGATATAATCATTTGGAAGGATGTCAGAATCTTTAGACATTATAGGTTTGTAAACTCAGTGTTCATAAGGATATGAGTCATCATTGGTGAATTTCGGATTTAGGTCTTCAATTTACGGGAATTTTAAAGTTGGACTCTAAAATGATTGATGAATATAAAGACAATGCAATGTACATATTAGCAGTAGCTAACCATCTAAATGGAGAACCACAACGACATGGATTCTAAGTCCACTCTAATTTTACATTTATCTAAATTGCACGAGTATTGAGATCATATAAACCCAATTCTTGGTTCGAGATGGAGGTGAAGATACGTTGAAACTAAATAATAATAGGAGAGGAGTTATTTGATGGAGGGATCCAAACGAAGATGCCTTTGGGTTTCAGCTACGAAAAGCCAGTGTTTGCAAACGGCAATACTCGGAAAGTTGTAACAAGTTGTTCAAAATAAGATTGAGAATATTGTTGGAGAGATGATCGCCCCAATCAGACGGTTATGATTCTGCACCTTACTCTCGTCTCTAAAGACATGCTTCAAAATTGGATCGGACTATACTAGATCGGACCACGTTGGTTTCCGTTTGCAAAATTTTAATACAAATTTTATAACTTCGGTCACACAACTAATCAAAATGGAATTTCTGTGTGTTGAGTCTAATACCGTGTTGACATTGGTAAATAGATTGAAAAAAGGATGAGGAAGGATATTTTTTTAACTACCAAGAAAATAAACGTTTTAAACATATAGAGACTAAAATTAACCAAATTGAAAATATATGGATCAAAGTGAACATTTTGAGAATGGATGGATCGAAGTATAGCAGGAGTCAAGATAATATTTTAACCTATTTTATTAATCATTTAAACTTAAATTTGATTGGGACTCCGTCATTTCTGTAAATTTCAAACTTTATCTATATTTAACAATTACACTACTTGTTTTACTTATTTTATTTAAACCCACGTTGCTTCTAAGCAGTATATTTTTTTTATTCGGTTATGTACAAATTTTAGACTTCTCTATTCTTCCTACGATAAAATCGAAAAAATTTATAGTTGCATTTAGTTTTATAATTTAAAAAGAAAAATTAACAATTGAAATTATTATCATTAATTTTATCAATATAATATATATAAATTATCATGAATGAAATAATTAAAAATTATGAAAGGTGCACCCTATTTTGCAGCTATTTACTACAATTTACATATTTTTAAACATTTAACTAAAACTTGTAACTCAATTTAAAAAATATGAAAAATTACACTAAAAAAGTAAAATAAATAAATAAATAATCATTTATTTCTTAATTTAAATATTCAACTTTTAAGATGAATATTAAATTTAGGTTAACCAAGCTCGTTACAACTTTTAAGTATAATTCATTAACCAACTCATCAATAATAATAATAATAATAATAATAATAATAAACTATTTACTTGTGGTACTATTTTTTTGACCACCCTTAAATTTTTTATGAGCAAAAGTTTTATGTGTAAAAGTGTAAAGCACACAAATACTGATCCACATGAAGATTTTCTTTTCCTTTAACATGTAACTAAAAACAAATTTTTAAAATCTCCCACTCTTACATGTTGTGTATGTTTCTTAGATGGGGATGACTTAAATTGTCCTCCCCACAGACGGCGTCAAATGTTTATGCAAAAAGTTGCACAATACTTATTCACGAACCTAGCTCGAACCCGGTCTTCAATTCGACTTGAACCTTGGAGTGAACCTGCACAAGAGGGCAAATTCTCCAACAATCAAGTTAGTATAGATCAGAGTCAATATTAAGTTTGATGTCAAATTCGATATCTAAGTGTGAAATGAGGCCCTCTATTTATAGGTGGTGGGTCTGACAGCACTCACGACCAGCGGTTATCCTTGTTTTTTGTCATGTCAAACCTGTCGGGTTTGAGTAGATCGAACCCTTTCCGGTCGAACCCCGGCTTTTTACACTTAGCCTTGTATATAGACAAATTTGGTCTCCTCGGCAGGTTCGAGGTAAACCTGAAATATGCTTTTATTTCTAAGCACCACTAAGCGTCCTCCACGTGTCGACAATATTTTTCCCCCAAACACATGTTTTACTAGAACGAACATTTTCACACTGAACAAAAATCAAAGTATATGAAATTAAATAAACAGTAAGTATACAGATTAAAATAAACCAAAATTGAAAATATCGAAATCAAAATATTATTTTAACCTAAATTTTATTTCACCAAAGCTACAAATCATTTCAACCCAATTCAAAAAAAACCATAACACAACCTAAAACGTACCATTTGAATTCAAATGATTTAATTATCGAGTCGTTGAATCCCCACCACAAACATCCAAAATATATATATGTGTGACATTGAATGTCCAAAAAATAGGGGTCCCCATCACTGGTTATCTCATTACTTCATTAAATATATAAACTAATAAATAGAAAGACAAAAAATAAAAAGTAAAAATAAAAATAAATGATTCGATGAAGTGACACATCTGGGTCACATGGTACCAGAGAGTTCAACAGTGAATAAATTAAAAAAGAAAAAAGGCCAAAATTAATTAATTAATACAAATTTGAAAAAATAAATGAATATAATATAAAGGGCGGTCGTGAATCTGAGGGGCAATAGAATGAATGAGTGATTCGGGATATCTTGGGGGGCGTCAAGGGCACCCAGTACCAATCCTTCAGTATCCTTGTGGTTGTAGGGCGCCCCTCCCTACGCTTTTAATATTTCCACTCCCTACCCCTATCCCTAAACCTGCCATTCGTTTTTACTTTTTAACGCCTACCTAACCTAGGCTCTTTTTTGTACGGTCCACCCTCCACGTCAGACTCTCTTGTAATCTACTGTTCCCACAAAATACAAACAAGACCATGTTTGGCTCGAGAATTTGAAATATTTTAATTTTTGTGTAATTTTAAATGGAAATATCTGAGTTGTTGTGAATTGTGATATTAACTTAGTATTTAACGGGTTAAAATAATATTTTGGTAATTTTAAATAGTTAAAAAATCAAAACTATTTAGTTCCCTGCAATAAAAAAAATGATGTTCTAGCTTGAGACAAATTTTCACCAACTCAACATCTTCTTACATAGTCTATTAGGTCTTACCAAATGTATCTAATAAAAAAAAATTATCTAACAAAAAGGATTTTGTTTTTTCTAATATAAACATAGTTGAACTGTCAATTTTTTAGTTATTGTTATAAAAATTGGAGGTTAAAATTCATCCATATTTTGTTAACTCAACAAATTAAAGAAAAAAAAAAAAAGAGACGTGTTTAATTACCCATCAAGTCCCAATAAATTGGGCTAAATTTCAGCTTGATGCCTACAATTTTAGAAGTTTGATTTTTAATCTAATCTCCATAGTTTAGACTTAATATTTCTTAATTTAGTCTATAATTTAACCGAATCTCCCAAATTCATCATTGTAATTATTACTACATCCATAGCTTATATTCAATTTAAGTGAGTTTGTGTTTTCTAATTGTATTAATATTTAGGGTTGAATACAAAATCAGATAAAATATATGTATTTTTAGTTTGCAAAGCATGTTTTGAGTACTATTCTTAAGGTTTAACCAATCTATTAAGGCGAGGGTATGCTTTCTTTTGCCAAAACTTACTTACATTGGATCGACGTGGACGTTAACCACAGGTATCATTAAATTGACATTTTGTAGTGATAAAAAACTGAGAGATGAACCCAATATGTTAGGTTGAATTTATTTTTTTAATGGTAGCAAATTTGACAATTAAATTTCAATTTAAAAAATTGTTCAATGTATTGTAAGCTAGTAATAGTTATCAATTAAATATTTAATTAATCTAAAATAATATTAATTAATTTATTAATATTTTTGTTACAAATTTGTATAATTATTAATTTACAATGTTGTGTAATTTAAAATATAATTATATATTATACATGTTTTAATTTTAACAAAAATGAAATGAGCATTTATTTTTAAATATAACTCTACCTTTAAAATTTTTAAATTAAAAAATTTTCAGAATTCCCAATGTTTTACTCAGAAAATATGAAAACAAATCTGTTAAACGCATATTCAGTGAATCCGCGAAGCAAAATTGAATCGCCAACCAAACAGTTAATCTTCCCACAGTTTTTTGGTTTAAAAATCTAGCATATGCCCTACTAAAAATTGGGTTGATCAGAGTGAGGCATAAAAAACTATTCAACTGAGAGCAGACAGGCGCTGAGTAGCCCTATTTGAATACACTTTTGCATCATTTCCAAAACTCCGTAAAAAAACAAAAGATGCCCAAAACCCTAAATATTATAATATTTATCAAAGTAAGAGCTGCCCGCTGCCCCTCAACTTGCCTTGCCACCTCCCTTCCACTTCTTATTCATTTTAGTTGAATATGCAAAACGACACCGCTTTGGACTGCATGGAAAGAGACAGCATCTCAACATGCTCCCCACCTTTTTAGCTTCTCCCCCCGCCCCCCACGTCCCACCTCCACGCGTGTCTTTCAAACGCCACTTCTATTCAATTCAAGTTACTTGAAAAAAAGTTTGAAAATAAAAGAAAAAGAAAGAGCGCAAACTGACATATTTACATGATCTTGCAAAACGGTGCCGTTTTCCCGTACCAACTCCCGTTATACTTTTTGCTTCCAAAATAGGAAATTCCGTCAGGTTTTGGCGATCCGGTTTCTGCAGTGTCTCGTCTGGCCTTTGCTGCAGTTTCCGCCGCCGCAAGTCGATTCGTTCCTCTTCTGCGGCGTGGAAAACAGCTGGCTGAACCCGAACATTGAGCCCGACGACTTCGATGACCCCCTCAGCGAGCTCACCGGAACGTTCAGCACCGGCGGTACTCTCACATTGGCGGAGAAGGACCTCTCAATGCCGTTGTTGTGCTTCAATCTCGGTCCGCCATTGAAGCTACTCGGGCTACTCGAACTCCTTTCCAAACTCTGGAACACTATTTTCCCCGAGGAGTTCATCCTAGGGCTATCCATGGATACTTCTCTGCTCCTCACTCCACTGGATTCGCCCGGCGCCCGACGGACCGGGCTCCGCCCTACTCTCTTCGCTTCTGATCGTGATGCCCTAGATTTCGCTAGATTTATCCGGTTCTTGTGGGCGTAGATTGAGTTTGGTTCTGGATTGAATTTTGTTGGCTTGTCCGAATCGAGGGAGAGCCTAGGGAGATCGTCGTGCGAATGGCCAGAGGATGAGGAAGAAAGAGAGAGTCGAGAAGAGGATATAGAAACTGACTCACAATCTAAATCCTTCAGCAACGGATGATTTAGAGTATCTGAGGACTCGGAGATCGCGAGCTTGGAACTCCTGTGAAGAAACTGCTTCAGAGATTTCATTCTTGTGCTTGATGAAGACAGCTCTGGCTTCTGATTTTCATTCTTCGAGGCTACAGTCATCTGGCTAGCCTTCTTCAGCCCTAGAAGCTCCCTCCACCGACTCGAGCACCTCGGAGCACGAGGAGAGAAAGAGTACGGCTCCGCATTACCGATTTCGGTAACTCCGCAGCGCGGCGTCATTGTATCAGGCGACCGCGATCCGAT